TGTTTTTAAATTAAAAAAGTCTCTATACGGTTTAAAACAAGCTCCAAGAGCTTGGTATGAATGTTTGAGTAATTTCCTTTTAGAAAAATATTTTACCAGAGGGAAAGTGGACACAAATTTATTCAGAAAGACATTTAAAAATGACATTTTAATTTGTCAAATTTATGTTGATGATATTATTTTTGGAACCTCTAATATCTCTCTTGGAAAAGAATTTGCTGAGACCATGCAGGCAGAATTTGAGATGAGTATGATGGGAGAATTGAAGTTCTTTCTGGGAATACAAATTAACCAGACTCCAGAAGGTACTTACATACATCAGACGAAGAATGTTAAAGAACTTCTGAAGAAATTTCAAATTTCAGAAAGCAAAGATGCTAAGACACCAATGCATCCAACATGCATTCTAGGAAAATATGAGGTAAGTATGACGGTAGATCAGAAGCTCTACAGAGGTATGATTGAATCCCTTCTCTATCTGAATGCATCTAAACCTGATATATTATTCAACATATATTTATGTGCTAGATTTCAATCAGATCCTAGATAATCTCACTTAACTGCTGTTAAGAGAATTCTAAGGTATCTGAAAGGTACTACTAATCTGGGTCTGTGTTATAGAAGATCAAAAGATTTCAGACTAGTAGGTTATTGTGATCCTGACTTTGCTGGAGATAAAATTGAAAGAAAGAGCACCTCTGGAAACTGTCAGTTTCTAGGTGACAACCTTATCTCATGGTACAGCAAGAAGCAAGCAACAATTGCACTTTCAACAACAGAAGCTGAGTATATATCTGCTGCTGGATGTAGTTCTCAGATGATCTGGATGAAAAGTTAGCTAGAAGATTTTAATCTTTATGAAAGTAAGATTCCTATCTTCTGTGACAATACCTCTGCAATTTGTATTTCTAAAAATCCCATTTTACATTCTAAAGCTAAACACATAGAAATTAAATATCATTTTATAAGGGACTACATTCAGAAAAAAAATTTAAATTTAAACTTTGTAAAAACAGACCATCAATGGGCTGATATTTTTACCAAACGCCTTTCAGAAGATAGATTTAAATTCATTTTGAAAAATATTTGTATGAATTAATGTCCTGAATGAAATTGTATTTATCTTCTGTGTTTGCCTTCAGAATATTCTGAAATAAATGTTCTAATTAACAACACTTCAGAAGTTAGAAGAGAAGTTACATCAAAATCTATATATAAAGTTCTAAAATATTCTAACATTTCATTACAAGTATAGTTCAACCGTTCATTATATCAAACAACTGTCCCATGCAACCTTCAGGAGATGGACACGTGTGTTTCTGAAAGGTCACGCGTGCTAAGCTATTGACGTTGTTCCTAGGTAACTGTTATAATTTGCTCAAATCTCACGCTTTCCCCTCAATTTTCAATATCATTAAATGCTAGTAATGATTAGATTCTTTTTAATTAATTTTTTCTTAAACTGTTTTTGCAGTTTCATTTTTAAAACCTCTTTTTTCTCAAGTTTCCATATAAATACCTTTGTAAAAATCCTTTCTCACCTTTTACCTTCTCTTTCAAAATTCAACCTTCTCTTTCATATAAATATCTTAGTGTCATTCTGATTCTTGTTTTTGTTTTGTTTTGTACCTCTGAATCTTTTTTATTAAAATTTTTTTTTATGCTCTTTAATTTTATACACTTTTTGATTATGACAAAAAGGGGGAGAAAATGAGTATTTTGATCTAATCTCTGATTAACAGTTATGAGACTAAGTCTCAAACATTACTAACAAAATACAAAGATTTCTTTCTCTGTTTAAAGATTTTTGTAGGTATCACTAAACTCTGGAAGTTTAATCATCTGAACATTATCTTCAAAAGACTTGCAGAAGAAATCCTAAAATAAAAATCTCAAAGCTCTGATGAAAATTCTCATGAAGTTTTTCTTATAGAAATATTTATTTCAGGGGGAGATTCTTATCTCTTGTTCAATTTTATTTCTAAATCTGAATATTTTTGTCATCATCAAAAAGGGGAAGATTATTAGAACAAGATTGGTTCTGATCATATCTCAGAGTTTTGGTGATAACAATAAAATATATTTTATATAATTGATACTCTGATGAGCATATTTATTTGTTTCAGATAACGTTCTGACTGAAGTATTTTCCTAGATGAAAATCATTTTGACGTGCTGAGCTGAAAATAAATGAAGAAGTTCTTTGATGAAAGAACTATTTGTTTTAGCGCAAGTTCTGATGCTGACTCTGATAAGAAACTATTTTATGCATCTTCTAAAGCTTAGCAAGTTTCCATGTAAACTATGTTCAGAAGAATTCTACAAGCAAGCGCTGATAAGAAGATTTGCAAGTATACTCTGAAGCAAGACGTGAAGCTAGTTCTGAAAGAATAAAGAAGCTAACAAGTCTTGTCAAGTTTCAGGGAACATGCTCTGACAAGTTCTGTTTGTTCATTTAATGCAAAGACGGCTACATGCACTCAAGTGTCTACGCTAATTCATTGGAAAATGCAATACTGCAAGCAAACACACAAACATTAATTGCTCCACACTTTTGAAGGCAACAATGGTCGTTTTCTTCATGCTATAAATAGAAGATCATTTATTGCAAGCCAATAACCTAATGATGTGAAAATATTCTACTGCTCACAAATCATTTTACAAACACTTTGTGCAAAACTAATCTTAGTGAAAAATCATAGTTTGTGATATAACTTTCTAAGAAGAAATTTGTTTCACTATCTGTAAAGATTTAATTCTTGTAATTGTTCCTTGAGAGACCAAGTTTGGTCAGATTTCTCAAGAAGGTTATGACTAGTTTAAGTCTTAGTGGTGTTAGTCACTTGTAAGTTTACTTGTGCTTTGAATTGTTAGTCACAATAGTTTGGTTGTGTGATTGTAATCTATTTGATTATAGTGAATTAAGTCCTTATTGAGAAAAGCAAAATCACCTTGGCGGGTGGACTGGAGTAGTTTGAGTTCAAACGAACCAGGATAAAAATAACTGTGTCGTTCCATTATTGTTGAGCCTTTAAGAAAAAGAAAAAGAGAAACTTATTCACCCCCCCCCCCCCCCCTTCTAAGTGTTTTCTCACCCTCAGATTCAACAAAATCAGAAGAAAGGGCATACACTTTGCATCTATCAAAACCTCGTCCAAATATTTCACAAACAAAGATCATTCACAATATCAGTATATCGTCATCCATAACAAAAATATCATTTTGAGTTTCAAATGAAAATTCACCTCAAAATATCAATAAACTCATAACTTTATTTCAAATACATTTTAATTTCAAATTTCAAAAACTTACAAAATTATGTAGCAGTGTAACTGTCTAATATTTTCTGCGTTCAAACAAAATTGCAAGTTAACTGAAAACTACAATCTTTCAATGATGTCTAAGCCAATTAGAATCACCAATCGTGCTATGAAAGAACAAAAATTAATACTCACGAGTAAGCTGTTATCGAGTTTGCGAAGCGTTAGTCTCAAATTTACAACTGAAGGATCATAATCTGCAGATGCCCGTCAAATATCAGTTGGAAATTATAGATGGAAATTATAAATGGAACAAAAAAAAGTTGGAAATTGAAATATTAGGTGAGTTTTTATTGAATTAATTATAGATGGTTATGGCAGAAAAAAGAAAAGAAAAAAAAGACACAAAAGATCAAGGTCAAAATCGTTAAAAACTTCAAAGTACAACGAAATCAAGATCAAAACCAGATATGCGAAGATGAAAAGTAGAAAAAGAAAGAGAAGAATCTAACCATACTTGATCGGTGGAAGCGAAGGAGGAAATATAGGAAGAATCTTTGGATCAAATAACCGAGAACGTAAATGTTGGTTTGGGTAGCGTTGAGTTGAGAAAACCTTCATAACAAAATCAATATAAGAAAGATGATATTCAAGTAACAGAAAATCAGGCTTCATTATGATTTACAAACAAACAAATACTCCAACAAATTCAATTTCAATTCATAAAATCAAACATTAATAACCTAGCACTCTCAATGATTAAGAAATTGAACTCGAATCAAACCCTAAAATCAAGAAACAAATCACTACATGCTTATACTTCTTCAACAATGTCCATCAACAGTCTCAATCATGAACTCAATTGAAAAAATGTTGACGAGCTTCACACCATAGTCATTTCGACCACCGATAGTTTTCTTGACAAAACAAAACATAGAAACTAACAATGAAGGTTTAAGCTTTTACCTTTTCGGATGCCCACTTGAAGCTTGAAGGAAGACCGATTTTGTGGGTACCCAATATCATTAATTGAAGATCTCAACCCTACTTTGCCCACTCCATTTCAGCTTCTGGGTCGTGAGATTGTGATTTGGTATGATAATTCTAAATCTTAATGGGTTGTGTTTGATGATAAACCGTGAGTAAATCTTGAAAAAAGATGAGTTTGCAATATAAATCGTGAGTGAATCTTAGAAAATGATAAGTTTGTAATATTAACCGTGAGTTTTATATTCCAAAAACAAAACAACTCATCTGACTTTTCAATTTCTCATGCCATTGTAAAATACATATTCGTCCAAGTAATTAAAGTGATTAGGAGAATTAAAAAAAAATCAACAAAATTTCTTGGACAGCGAAATCAGATGTAATTAATGTGAAATAAATATAAAACAATTAAATATTTAATTAGAGGATTTATCATGTAATTTCTAAATAGTGTTGTTTTTATAGATTTATAATAGATATAATTGATAATAGATAACCACCTTATTTTCTCCCTCCCATGTTGCAACGATGCTTTTAAGAGTTTCTGGTCGTTGTAATTAATTTCTTTTGGGATTCTGCGGATTTATATTATATAATAAAAAAGAAAAATAAAACAAGTCGTAGCATTAGTAAAAAGAGTCACAGTCTTCACACCGAGCACCACCAAACACAAAAAGCTGATCCAGATTTGCACTTTACCTTACCTCACCTCACCTCACCTGCTTCCCACACACACTTCCAACAACAACATCCATGGCGGTAACTTCAACATCACTCGCTTCTCAACTCTCCATTGGCCTCCGCCGCCAACCTTCCCCCAAGTTCGATTCCCTTACTTCCCAATCTCTCTCTTTCTTCGATCCCAATATTCGCCTTTCCGTTTCTTCCCCCAAACCCTCCCGTTCCGTTATCGCCATGGCTGGTTCCGGAAAGGTACTCCTTCTTCTTTCTCTTCCAATTTTTTATTCTTTCTTTTTTTCTTCCATTTAGTTCAGGAAAAAAACTGTTATTATTTCCATTTCATAATTAAATCAACATGTTGTACATTTGATGGTTAAATACAACTTGTTACTTTATGTTCGGAAGGCAATATAATTCTCGTTAACGAGTTTGTTAGATTGCGTTTATATTGCTCCTTTGTATTCAGGTGTTATTGATTTTGCTACTTAGTATGGTATATTGATATTTTCTTTTATTTCTTTGTGGTTCCAGTTCTTTGTTGGTGGCAATTGGAAGTGTGTAAGTATCTATAAATTTTCATTTCATTTAGCAACAGCATTACATTCAGTATTATGTAAAAAAAAGGCATTGCATGCAACATTGTTTTCTTCTTTAAAGCTATCTAAACTTGAGTTTTACTACTTTTGTTGTTATCTCTAGAATGGAACCAAAGACTCCATCAGTAAGCTTATAGCTGACTTGAACAATGCAAAATTGGAGCCTGATGTTGGTAAGACATATTCAACCTTCAATCCTATGTGTTTCTAGTGACAACTTACAAGCTGTAAAAACAGCAAAATTTTATATTGCTTAGATTTCAAATATATTTGGTGTAGCAAAATGCTGATGAAATGTATTCCAATTACAAATGGCGCATTACTCAGTGTGCTGTACATCATATTGATGGCTATAAATGTTCAGTTCATTAAATTAACCCAGGTCTCTAACAGTGTTTTCAAATGGTGACGCCATGGTGGATATACATGGCGGTTTTTTTGGCTCTTTGTAATGGTAAATATCGGCTGATATTGTGGGTTTTTCTTTTTCCGTCATAATCCGCTATAACGGCACCGCAAAGTGGATGGTATGGTGGGATTTTGGATCTCCGCCATGGAACGCCATTCGCCATCGACAACACTGTTCTCTAATGGGCTAGTGGCCACTCAATATAATATGGGAAAATTGGAAGGAAAATGCCAAGAGATTTCCTCCCGGATCCAACTTTGGATCATGTGCAGAGAAGTCCCTTGTGCTTTCAACATGACTCTTTGAACTTTTCAGACCCTACATTTTCTCTCCCTTTGAAATTTTTTTGCTCATGTGCAATTTGGTCATTATGCAATAATGTGCATTTTCTGGTTAGTTCAAGGACTTGTATTATGATCCATAATTGAGAGGGTTCCTTTTATTGTGTCCCAAAAACGTTAACATTTTTTGGTAAAAGAAAATTATAACATTAAGTATGCAGTTTAGGTTAGAATATTTTTCTTAATTACCACTTTAATATATTTGTTATTTGGTTTTCTTAACCTTTTCCATGTTGTGAGAAGTACAGATGTTGTTGTTGCACCTCCCTTTGTATACATCGATCAGGTGAAAACCTCACTTACAGATAGGATTGAAGTATCTGGCCAGAATTCTTGGGTGGGAAAAGGTGGTGCTTTCACCGGAGAAATCAGGTTAGCTTTCTCTTACCTGTCAAAACTTATTTGATCTCGGTTATTTATTAATGTATAAATTTAGGTCCATTGGATGGATACAAATACCCTTCTATTTTATTTTCGCAACTGTCCTTCCTGCCGTTCTTTGATTCTTGATGTTTAAGCAGTTTATATTATTACTTTCCGGTGTTCGTATACTATGCTGCATTTTAAAAAGTTAACTCAGCTACTCAATAAATGTAACTTTGCAGTGTGGAACAACTGAAAGACCTTGGATGCAAGTGGGTTATTCTTGGACATTCTGAGCGAAGGCATGTTATTGGAGAAAAGGATGAGGTAAAACAAATTTAGAAATCATTTACAGTGTCTTTCACAGAAAATGTGATCAGTATCTCTGTAAGGGTGCATAATACATAAAATATGAGCTGAGAATTGTCAACTCCAGTTTATAGGAAAGAAAGCTGCTTATGCTTTGAGCGAGGGTCTTGGAGTGATTGCATGCATCGGGGAATTGTTGGAAGAAAGAGAAGCTGGGAAAACTTTTGATGTCTGTTTCCAACAATTGAAGGCTTATGCAGGTGAAAGCCATCTTTTTCCATGATTGATTTTTTGTTTTGGGGAGAAAACAAGAAGAAAGGGTAGGTGGTGTTGGTTTTGCTGATTGCTTCCGTAACATCCATTCTATTTTATATCCATTATGTACAGATGCGGTGCCCAGTTGGGATAATATTGTTATTGCATATGAACCTGTATGGGCCATTGGAACTGGCAAAGTGGCCTCTCCCGAGCAAGCTCAAGAAGTGCATATAGCTCTTCGTGATTGGCTTAAAAATAATGTCTCAGCTGAAGTTGCATCTAAAACACGAATTATTTATGGAGGTAAATCTTTTATTGTACCTTCAGTTGCATTTGCACTTGTCATGAAAATTTAAGATGGTCTATAAATTTATAATAATGTTGCACACTTTATTCAATATCATGAATCCCTGTGATGGGAAAACAGCTTTTTTGCTGTCACTCCCATTATTTTTCTGTCTACGTATTCCTAAGATGAATTATGTGTGTACCAAGAGAGTTCATTCTTCAATCTGGAAGGCCCATTTATGATGCATGAATTTAATGGAACAATAAACAATTGCGAGTTTGGATGGGAAGGGATGGAAAGGGAGGATATATGGGGGAGAGGAAGAGAGAGAAATATAGAGAAACTTATAGATGAATAAATCTGTTGTTGATATTAAATTCAGAATCTTTGCGACTGTGAAATAATATAGTTTTCACTTGAATGTTAGTTTTTACAGTACAGCAGCACGTGGATGTATTATTATTAACATTGCATTAAACTGTTTTATAGGATCTGTAAATGGAGGGAACAGTGCCGAGCTTGCAAAGAAAGAAGATATTGATGGATTTCTTGTTGGTGGTGCTTCATTAAAGGTACATGGTTTCTTCAAAAGTTCCTCGACCAAAGTGGCCATTCCATAATCACTTACAAGTTGCTCTTGTTGAGTGCAGGGTCCTGAGTTTGCCACCATTGTCAATTCAGTGACATCCAAGAAAGTCGCGGCTTGATTACTTATTGTGGTTTTGGCTATATGAGAGCATTAAGGAAGAGCACTAAGGAAGGTGGCAATAATATTATTTGGACTATTAGAGTTTGGTCTTGATTCATCCTCTTTTATCATTTTCTTTGCAATCAATAGGATAATCATCCTCTCAGTTTTTTAAAGAACCTGTGTTTTATGGTAATAGCATTTAGAGATATTAAAGACAATAAATGTTTCTTAATAATTGTTGTTTTTCATAATTCACGTTTATATCAAGAAATCTTGGTCTTGTTTTTGGCCTCTGATGGCAATTGGAATCATGCATTGTGAGTAAACTGACAGTGTTCCTAATCAACCAAAAAGAGGGAAAACTGCCTAAAATTCATAAATAAAATAATGATTTGGTTGGTAATCATAACCCCATTGTCACTAGCAATTTACTGTACAGTACAAGTATAAACCAAGGTACTAGTAGCTGGTAAACCAAGGTTGCTGGTAATCATAACAACTGAAAAATGATTACTCCCTCAGACTTATAATAAGTGTTCTGTTACGCACAATTAAAAAAAAAAAGTAGATAGGTTGATTTTAATAATAGAAATAATATTATTTATTAAAATGTTTTTTTATTAATTTTAGTTAGTGGATCATTTGAATAGAGTAAAAATTAAAATGTTTTTTAATTAATTTTTAGAGGGTGTTTGTTTTAAGGTTAGAAACAAGATTCTTGGGAATACATGAATAAGTTTGAATAATTAAAGTAACTTCAATTCTTTGGAATAAATTTCTTATTTTTATTTTTCTGGGTAATTAATTTCTGAGAATAAATTTTGATTTCTTGAAAAAAATGCCTTCTTAGTTAGTGGAGTATTTCTTCCGTTTTATAAGGAGTAACTCATTTAAAATAAAATAATATTTTAAAATAAATGATTCATTTTAAATTTTATTATTTTTTCTAATTTTATTTTTTAATTAATTAAACTTTCATTATTTTTAATGTGGAGTATTATAATAAAAATATTAATTTCTTTATTATTTTTATTTTAATAATTTTTTAATATGTGAAAAATGATGGATTGGATTGATTGTAGGAAAGAGAGAGTAATAAAAGTAAGAGTATAATAGTAGAAAAAAAAATATTAATATTTTAAAAGTACATCTATTTTGAAGTTGTGAAAAAAGTGCAAAAGACACATTTACGAAACAGATAAAGTATTTTTGAATGTATTTATGTAAAATATATTAAACAATAAATTTGAAATTAAAAATTCAATTTTATAATCAGAAGTTATGAATTGTAATTTTTAATTATAATCAATTTTGGAGATAAATTAATTTTATAAGAAAATATTCAAACATCTAAAAATTATATATAGACTGCTAAAATCAATTTTTACTTCTCTAAAAGTGAAATTGAACATATATTTTCTCATATTTCATAGTAATTGTTATGTTTTCTTTATGTATTGTAATCTCAATTTTCATTGCAAATGCTTCGGCATATTTCATTTAACAACTATAAAATATCATGCATTAGTTATAAGTTATTGGTTATCATACTAATTTTTTTATTAATTAAAATTTTGATATTATTTTATGTTAAAATAAATTTGAATTTAAATATATTTACATCAAAGATACTGAAATCCAATCAAAACTCACGGTATTAAAGAATTCAGCTTTATCTTTTATATTTATTTTATTACTTTGCAGAATTAATGCTTAGTTGAATATTCCAGTTCTATAAATCATATATATATATATATATATATATATATATATATATATATATATATATATATATATATATATATATATATATATATATATATATATATATATATATATATATATATATTAAATTTATATTTGATATATTAAAAACGGGTGTAAATATAAAATGTGATGACGATTTTATAAATAAAATATTATTTTAAATATAATCATATGACAATTTATGCTCTATTTTTTAAAAACGAATATAAATTAAAAATATTATTATAATTAAATTTCGATTATTTTAATTAAATTTAAAACAGATATAAATTTAAATAAATTAAAAAACTATTTAATTTTATAATTTAAAATATTAATTTAAACACATTTACAAATCATAATTTATTTTATTAAATCTTAATTGTTTAATTAAATGGATGGAAATTTATTAAATTAATATTCTAAATAACAAGTTATCTCTTTCCAGTATCATAAGATTTACTACTTAAACATAGTATCACTTAATATATGTGACTTAATAGAAAAGAAACAGAGAATAATAAGTTACCAACGCACGTGAGAACGAAAAAGCGATTCTTGCTCCTCTTAAAAGTGCTTATCTAACGTGCTTTTCAATCTTTTCCTCGACCAAACCCAATCTGCGGCAGAGCATGGTGATTAATGGAATAAGCAAATGAGGATGAAGTTAAGAGAAACAAAAGATACGTGAAGATGATGCCGACGCAGATTCATGATGGAATTTGGTACGTTTTTTTTCCAGTGAATTTCAGTTTCAATCTTCTTCATCTCTTCTTCGATTGCTGCTGTGTGATTGTTGTTCAATTATGGTTTATGTATAGTGTTAAATTATTAACGAATTCCTCGTTTCGTAACTTGCACACCAAGTGTTCGGTGAAATGTCTCAACTTTTTTTGTTTGATTTCTGCTGCGGAATTGTTGTTGTGTTGATATTCATTGTTGTAGCAGGTCGTGGTTGGCGAATTGATGGAGAATGTGTCTGCATCATCATGAATCATCTTCGTAGTATTGTCCCAATGCCAAATATATCAATATCGGAAGCAAAATACAGCTGCGCCAGCTGCTTTTTGGTGGTACTGTGAACATGTGCACACTTTTTTTAAATAATCGAATGTTAGGACCTATTTATCAAGCAAACTGTCAGACTATTGTAATTTTAATACAATTTTAATACATATTTGGATATGTTTTATGAAATGTGCTATTTATGACAATGTAGCTGATAGATATTGATGGAAGCAATTCATACATACTCACTTGTCTTGTTCAAATTGCAGAAAAAACTCCGCTCTATCATTTCCAACTGAACGAATATTCAAAATTCCCAATGTTGATGGAGTGATTGAAGAAGGCAAGAAGGCTCCTAAAAAATTCCGCGATATGAAGGTGAAGAGCCCTAGGTTATAACTTAAAGACAGAGATGTACACAGCAAGTGGTTGGCCATCAATTAGTGGTGATGCTTTAAAGGTCCTGGCTGGAAACATTTCTTCTGATTTTGACTTTACCGATGAGGTTTATAACTTGGATCTTTATGATGAACATGGAAATCCTTCTCAAAGTCATATTGAGGTTCCAACAGGTGATAATTCTGCATATTGAACAGCTTTTCCTACTTTTCCAACAGAGAAAGAACGGAGAGAAGCTTGCCATGCCATTGCTTCTTTATGTGAAGTCAGTTCAATCAAATCTTTGATTTCAAATTTCATTCTACCCATGCAGGTATATTTTTAATTGCATGTGTTTTGGTCTATTTCGTTATGAATTTTTGCTTCCATGTTTTATCACTCATGTAATAAAGTTTTGATCTAGTATATGTTTTATTTAACTCTGAAGTTCTTTATACCATGCTCTACGTCAGCTTCATAGTTTCTTTATACCATGCTCTACGTCTGCATCATCATGAAACAAAAAATAAGAAAAAAATGTTCATTTTACTTGGTTATTAGTTTTGAAGTTGAGTAAATATATTCCTGTTCTGGACTAGGATCCACACTGACTTCTGTGAGCCATATAGGAAGTCCAGTTGTAGCAAGAAGATCTAGACTTGACATCATGTAAGCAATGTTTGGCATACCGTTTGAAAAATGGCCTTGCACCCCTATGGCCAAAGATATTCCATCAATTCCCTGAAATTGCTGAATCTCCTTAACTTTCCTGATATAATTGGCTGGGCTGGCAACCTTTTCTCCCCTGTACGCAATGGTGTTATACTCATTCATAAACATCACAGTGTTCGGATCAAGATGGTAAGCTGTTGAATAATATATTGCAGAGGCATTTTCACCAAGTTTGTCCTCAAAATAATGGCAGTGGAGATTCTCGTTCATCACGTCCCATGCAATCAATTGTCCAATATACTTTGTAACCATAGAATTCATTCTTTTTGCAGCTGCTTCTAGTAATTTGTCAGGGACTTAACCCATTCAGGCTGAAAAATTTTCATCGACCCACAAAATGGTATGACCTCTAACCGAAACACCATTTTCTTTGGCGAATTTTAACATGGCATCTGGGATAGTATAGTTTTCCGCCTTGAACATTCTCTGTACTATACCACTTCATCTCATTGGTGAAAGTTGTGTATTTGAATCTAATATTAAATCTTTTTACTATGGATTCAAGAAGCTGAATTATAAAAATTCAATGTGTAAAATAAAAACAGGTTGGCTTCCTTAGAACTTTCCATGCTATATGTACTCCACCATCCTAAAAAAGAAACCAAAAAAAAAAAATATAAAGCAATTATCAAAATTTTTTACTATGGATTTGACAGACAGACAATCTATTATTTTATTTTTTCTAATTTGAAATAAGTAATAATTCTAAAATGATTGAACTATTTGAATGAAGAGAGATTTTGTTTCAAATATTGGCACATGCCTCCAAGTACTTACAGCTCTGTGTTGTAAGATGTTAATGTGTGATGCTTTTGTTCTTTGAAGCACAAATTTTTCTAATGGTAGTTCACTCTCAGCAGCCTTGTTTCATTTAGTTGCACTAACAGTGTCATTGAATTTCGACTATGGCAGATATCAGTGGTGGTTTTTGGGCTAGCCGCAACGGTAAACATGAGCTGATATTGTGGGTTTTCCGCCATAATCTGCTATGACGGCACCACAGAGGTGCCGGTACAGCGGGACTTTGGCTCTTTGCCATGGATTGTCATCTGCCATTGACAACACTGTGCACTAGTATATATTATTGAATTTTTTAAATTAAAGCAGCAGCACAATTTTGTAAAAGCAAAATTACACTGCGGTCTAGGTTGATAAATTCATAGAGCCAATCCTAGGGCCATTATAAAATTTAGTTAATTTAATTTGAATTTTTTTGTCTAGGATTTAATTGGATTTTATTGAGTGTCAAATATATGATTAAGTGAACAAACTTACTCTATGTATCAAACATATTTGATCCACGACAACTGCAGTTTTTTTAATCCTCTTAAGTCATGCAGATTCACTGTGGTTGGAAACATATAGAGAATCAATAGGAACCGTTGGATCTTAATCAGTAAATTTTTTTTGATTGATTTTGATCAAACCGTACAGACTATGTCACCATACGTGATTGCGACTACAGATACCGATTCCAAAATGACGTGACGCATCATCGAGTGACTATTTATATTCTTCAGTTTCTTTACTCAATTTACCCTATACATATTTTCAAAAATTCAAACTCGCCGCGCAGCACTCATTCACGAAATCATGTCTCAACCAAAAAGCAACAGTGGCAACCAAGTCAGCAACCAGGTCAGTTTCTCTCTGCATACTTCTCTATTCTTGCGTCTCGCTTGATTTTCTACCGCCTTCGTAAGTTACTTTCAGTTTTTCTTCATAAACTTTTTCGGTTCAAAATCTCAATGCTTTCCATAGGAGGAACTTGTTCGGAAACAGATTTTAATTACTGTCTGTAGATGTTCTCCGATTTTAATTACCATGTGATTTTGCATGTTAGAGATGGCCCCTATTAAGTTGGATTTCCCAACAACTGTTTATGGTATGTATTGATTATCATTAAGTCTCTTTTTGTTGGTTTTGGTTTCTTATTTTACTTTCAAATCCTGACACACTTCACCTTGGTGCCTTAACCTATGCCATGAAGCAGCTTGAATCTCTGCTCCTGTTTATCCAAGTGAGCCTTTCTATAGAATGGGACTTCTCACTATGTATGACCAGTTCCGCTCAAGAAGAAATTCCATGGGTCGAGGCTGGAGCTGAATATGTTGTCAAGTCTACCGGAGTTTTCACCGATAAAGCCAAGGGTTCTGCTCATTTGAAGGTTTGTCGTTATAGCATAACAGAATTTGAACAAATCAATGTATTTTCTACAATTTGTGATTGACAACACCGATATAGTTTTTACAATTTAGGCCCTTCTTTATTTTCTTCTAAATTGCGCTTATGTCCTTTGAGACTAGGGTGGTGCAAAGAAGGTAATTATTTCTTCCCCTAGTGTGTACGCACCAATGTATGTAGTTGGTGTGAATGAAAAAGAGTATAAGTCAGATGTTGATATTGTTTCTAATGCTAGCTGAACAACCAACTGTCTTTCTCCCCTTGCAAAGGTGATACTTCTTGTTTTAATTGCTTAAATCTAGAAGCACTTTTTTTCATGTAGAATAAAATTTAAAATCTCATTTGATGTTCCTTTTGAAATATATTCAGTATATTCAGGTTATTCATGACAAATTTGGTATTGTCGAAGGTCTTATGAGTACTATTCACTCTATTACCGTTAAGTTTGTAATCTTATGCATAATTTACGTTCGGATTGATAAACATCTCAATTAAGCACTTATAATATAAATATTTATCAAATAAGTACTTGTGTATAAGCTATTTTTTTATAAACTGTGATGTTTTTATAAACTATCTTATAAAGTTTATGAATATATTCGGCAACTTTGGGTTCAAAGTTTTTTTTGTAAATGGTTGAAAATCAAAAGGTTGAGGAGCAAAATCTACAAGGCCAAATCCAAATGGTTGAAGAGAATAAGGACATAGAAATGTTTCCAAAACAAAAGCGAAAGAAAAAGAAGAAGAAAACTTATATATGAAGAAAGTGACATGAAATATTATGAGTTGGTTGAATATTTTGTTGTTAATAGTATGACTTCTTAGTACAAAAATATGATTTAGTATATTTTTTTGGTAAATATGAAAAATATTATGACTTAGTACATGAAATGTGAATTTATGTGTATGACTTTATAGTATTTGAAATATTATGACTTCTTAGTATATGAAATATGAAGAAATGTGATAACTAAAATAGAGTGTAATGTAGTATATGAAATAGGGTGTAAATGGAAGTAAATATAATATAATTTGTTCATTTATAAAGGGTGTAAATTATATTTAAAAAGTGTATAAATTATCATGTATTTACACCTATTTTTTTAAAAAATGGTGTAAATTAGCATGTATTTAAACTTGATTTTTATTAAAATAGGGTGTAACTATGAATGTATTTACATCTGATTTTTATTAAAATAGGATGTAACTATGAGCGTATTTACACCCGATTTTTATTTAAAAAGAGTGTAAGATAGCATGTATTTACACCTGTTTTCTATTAAAAAAGGGTGTAAACATAACATGTATTTACACCCGTTTTTAAACGGGTGTAAATGCGTTAGACATTTCTCATCCGATGAAATATACATCCGATTTTTATTAAATTTAATGAGTGTAAATTTGATAAAAAACGGGTTTAAATTAATCTTTTTGTCCTAGTGGTATAAATATTAAATAAGAGTTTTTAGGTCATTATACATTGTTTGAATTATGAACATGTTTAGGTATGTCAACCAAATATTATTTCCTTGTTTTTTTTATAAATAATTCTATTTAGAGGAGTTAGGGCATCACTACCGAAAACAACTTTGTTATCACAATATTACTACAATTATTTATTTACCGTAATCATATCATATTTTTTACGTGGATGTTTTTTCTTATTAAGAAAGTTTTCATCACGAATCTTGTAAAGAACCGTCGTCATATATTTTGAGTGACAAGCTTTGAATCTTAGCCGCAATATTGAAAGTGTTACAACTACGGTTGTTATATTCAACCGTGGTAATAAGTTTCAAATATCACTATGATTGGCGCTTACAAACGTGGTGAGATTTTTTCCCGCAACATTAAAACATAGCAGGTATTTTATTCCGTTCATAACACACAGGGGTTCCCTGGCGAATGAGACGACAACGATAGCGAATATCGTTTCTGGAAACGAAATATTTACCATCCTCTTCGAATATCATTTCTGGAAGCGAAATCTTCACCATCCTCTTCGAATATCTTTTATGGTACATTGCTGTTATCTTTCTTTGACTGTTATGAATGTTAGGGTTTCTTTCATGAATCAATGACTTCTGTTTTTGTGAATATGCTTTAGGTTTTGGTCGGATATGCATATGCTTTAGATTTTGTGTTTGAAGCATTAGTGTGTCATTCACATTTCTTTTATTTTCGTTTTGTTGCAAATGTGTTTTGGTTTTATTCAGATTTTGTAGCTTATAACCATAATATGTAGTGTGTAACATATAACCTTAGATTAGTGTGTATCAGAAAAGAGTTCTTGACACTAATGGAAAAATATAAATTTACACCTATTTTTTATACAATTTACATCTGTTATTGTAGGGTGTATATTCAACAGGTGAGAAATGTCTAACAAATTTACATCCGTTTTAAAATGGATGTAAATACATGCTAATTTACACATATTTTATATATAAAAAGGGTGTAAATGATTACATATTTAAATTTCATTTGATAATAATCGGGTGTAAATACATGATAACTTACAATATTTTTTAATATAAAATCAGGTGTAATACATGATAATATACACCCTTTTTAAATATAAAACGGGTGTAAATACATTCTTAGTTACACCATTTTTAAAATATAAAACGAGTGTAAATTATGTAATAAATTTAAACCACATTTGATAAAAATTGGGTGTAAATACATTCTTAGTTATGCTATTTTTTAATAAAAATTGGGTGTAAATACATTTTTAATTACACTCTTTTTTAATAAAAATCGGGTTTAAATACATGTTAATTCACAATCTTTTTTAATATAAGGCAAAAATATACTAGGGGTTCTTTAAGTTATTTTATTGTAATAAAGTGATACTTTGATAAAAATCAGATGTAAATACGTTCATAGTTACACCCTATTTTAATAAAAATCAGATGTAAATACGTTCATAGTTACACCCTATTTTAATAAAAATCAAGTGTAAATACATGTTAATTTACACTATTTTAAAAAAAATAAGTGTAAATACATGATAATTTATACACTTCTTAAATATAATTTACACCCTTTATGAATGAACAAATTATATTATATTTAATTTCATTTACACCCTATTTCATATGATTTATTACACCTCTATTTTAATTATCACATTTCTTCATATTTCATGTATTAAAAAGTCATAATATTCAACAAAATATTTCATGTACTAAAAAGTCACGTAACAATCTCAACTTCTTGAGCAAACTCTTTTACAACATCCTTTGAGACAAATACTCTATGTAAACATAACTACTTTCCAGCTCTAAGACAAATACTGTTATAAACTCTGATGAAAGACATTCTGGAACAATTTGTGGATCCTTCCAACAAAAGCCATTCCTCTCTTTTAGATCAAAAAGAACTCTGATATCCTGTCAAACAATCTTTTTTTTCAAAATTAAAGTTCATTGAATTAGAGTTGACTAGAAAAACTTGACCAAAAAAATATAAAAACGAAGAAAACCTGAATGATAAATTTTGAAGTTTAGGAGAATGTTGGAGTATTTCTAGCAACGAGATGCACTTGTCATACCAATCAAGATCTTGAATGTCAAGCTCCAAGTGACTCAATCTTCGAAACATGGGAGTAGCGTGGAGCAAAAGATTGATGAAACATGAGTGCATAGTCTACAAGAATTACATAGAACGGAACATTAAAATTAGCTTTGATCAAATTAGGTAAGGGCTTAGATGTTTCTAGGGGATAAATGATTTCCTTGTCCTTGAAATTGACACTATGTTTTAATTCAAAATCCAGTAGAAGTGGGCATCCTAATAAAAGAGTATACAATTGTGAATTACATTGAAAAAGGACGTAATTCAAATGGAGAGTTTTGAGTTTGGGTAAGGGTAAATGTAAATCCTGCATAGAGAAATATCTCCAAACTTGATGCCCTTCAACTTTAGAACCTCTAGTGTCTCACAATTGAGAATGCAACGAGGTAATTCAAATTCAAATTGTCGATCCCAAACTGGAACGTTTAGGTGGAAGGTGAAGTTTTGTACTCGTATTGCGGACGAACTCAATAAATAGATTGAAATCCTTTTGGTTGAAAATAGAACGTTCATCACCTATGAAGCTAAACGAATGGATTGGTTGTGCGGAGTCTCGTCGCTGCATTGTAGAGCACTGTTATTTTGGTCACAGCTCTAAGACAAATACTGTTATTTTGAACAGCTTAGGATCACTACTTTCCAAGCAATACTACAAATAGACTTCCTAATGCATTAACTCAAAAAAAGTTTGAAAATAAGAAAGAAGATTTAGTACAAGAGTGAGAGTTTGATTTTGCGACCACTTGTGAGCCTATATTCAATCTACTAATAAAAGATTAATTAGTGGAGTGGAATGAAGACTGTCAAACAACCTTTGAAACAATAAAATAATATTTGCAAGAGCCACCAATTCCGATGAAACCCGTTCCTGGAAGACCACTTATTATGTACTTAAAAGTGCTTGAAGGATCTATAGGATGTGTATTGGGTCAACACGGTGAAACATGTAGAAAAGAACACGCCATCTACTACCTAAGAAATAAATTTAATGATTGTGAAACTTGGTATTCACTCTTTGAGAAGACTTGTTGTGCTCTGGTTTGGGAAAATAAACGTCTGAGACAATATATGCTAACTCACACCACATGGTTAATAACGAGAATGAATCCTTTGAAGTATGTGTTTGAGAAGCCAGCCCTCACGGGAAGAATTTCTCGATGGCATATGTTTTTATTCGAATACGACATCCAATATGTTACTCAAAAGGTCATCAAAGGCAGTGTACTAGCTGATCACCTGGCTCATCAACCATTGGCAGAATATCAACCAATGAAGTTTGACTTTCCAGAAGAAGACATTATAGTTATAAGTGACTATGAAATACCAGAACCCAATGAAGGTCTTGAACCAGGGGCACGATGGATACTCATGTTTGATGGTGCTTCAAATGCCGTAGGACATGGTATTGAGGTTGTATTGAATTCTCCGAAGAAATTTCACAAACCTTATACTGTGAGGCTATGTTTTGATTATACCAACAATATTGCTGAGTACAAGGCTTGCATCCTGGGTCTAGAAGCTGCTATTGATCTAAGGATTAAATACCTCTAAGTATATGGAGACTCAACGTTAGTAATATACCAAGTTAACGGTGAATGAGACACTCGACATCCCAAATTAATTATATATCGGGATTATGTTTTAGAGCTGGCTACATAGTTTATCGAGATTACTTTCACTCACATTTCACGAGAAGAAAATCAGATGGCAGATGCCTTGGCAACTTTGTCAGCCATATTCAAAGTAACTTGGCCTAATCATGAACCACACATAACAATCAGGCATTTCAAAGAACATGCACACTGCCTCACAGTTGAAGAAGGGCCAGATAACAAACCA